TGGCTCATGCGTTCATCCTGCACTGCAAAACAAGCTCCCCTCGCCAGTGTCAGCAGGGCATCCCCGGACGTCGATAGCAAGGCGTCTTTATCTAGATAGATAAAGACGCCTTGCTCTATCTGGTAGATGCTCTGGTGCTCCTTCCGTCTCAAGCCTAACCCGGGCGGGTGGCCCCTGTGAGCGTCATCGTACGAGGTGTGTTAAGTGCGTCGCAAAATGAACCCAGGGTGGCGCAGGAGGCGCCAGCTGCCTGCTTGAGTGGGCTTGTACGGCGGACGACTGCATGCAGTCACAGGCAAAGGAGCGAGCAACACGACACATACATGAAGCATGAATCCCATGCAACCCCCGTGCGCTGAGTATGTGCTGCCTTCGGTGTGCAGCTCACTTGGGGCAACTAACTGAACCGTGATGGGCATGGCTTGGACGAGTGACCCGTGGTTCGGACATCCCTTTCGGACCATCCCGCTCCTTGCAAGCGCGGTTTCTCGCCAGGCTTTAGCTCCCCTTAAAGCGTGCGCGGAGGCCTGGCACGCTGGGGTCCCGCTGAACTGCCCGAGCGTGGATGGGCGTGCGGAGAGGGGGTTGCCGTACAATCCCAGGCCCGTTTTCGCCCCATATGCATGCGGATTGTGAGTTTGACATCCCGAGATCGAGATGGCGCAGCGGAAGCGTACGGATCTCATAACCCCGAGGTCCCAGGATCGAAACCTGGTCTCGATACGCTTTTGCTTTCCTCCCCCGTTTTGGGGGTAGCACCTTGCAAACCATTACTCGCCCGGACCTCTTGGAAGCGCTAGCTTTCGGCCTGCTGCTTTTGCCAGCCGAAGCGCCATCATGACGACCGCACAAGCCGCCTGCTCGGCATCATACCCACACATATACGTCCCTCACGCACGCACGTGACCCCCCTACTGACCAGCCCCCATGCATCCATCGAGCGGGAGGAGAGAGAGAGATCATGCACAGGAGGCGTTGAGGACAGAGGTTGATGAGTTTGGGGCACCTAGATGAACAGCAGGCTCTTCGGGCGTTGGCAGCGTCAGGTCAGGTCACAAGGTGCATGTCTCCATGCCGGTAGCAGATAGGTTGCAGCCAGCCATTGTATGTACGAGACGTCGGGTAAGGTGGGCTACAATCACCTCTTTGCCGATGGCTCATGCGTTCATCCTGCACTGCAAAACAAGCTCCCCTCGCCAGTGTCAGCAGGGCATCCCCGGACGTCGATAGCAAGGCGTCTTTATCTAGATAGATAAAGACGCCTTGCTCTATCTGGTAGATGCTCTGGTGCTCCTTCCGTCTCAAGCCTAACCCGGGCGGGTGGCCCCTGTGAGCGTCATCGTACGAGGTGTGTTAAGTGCGTCGCAAAATGAACCCAGGGTGGCGCAGGAGGCGCCAGCTGCCTGCTTGAGTGGGCTTGTACGGCGGACGACTGCATGCAGTCACAGGCAAAGGAGCGAGCAACACGACACATACATGAAGCATGAATCCCATGCAACCCCCGTGCGCTGAGTATGTGCTGCCTTCGGTGTGCAGCTCACTTGGGGCAACTAACTGAACCGTGATGGGCATGGCTTGGACGAGTGACCCGTGGTTCGGACATCCCTTTCGGACCATCCCGCTCCTTGCAAGCGCGGTTTCTCGCCAGGCTTTAGCTCCCCTTAAAGCGTGCGCGGAGGCCTGGCACGCTGGGGTCCCGCTGAACTGCCCGAGCGTGGATGGGCGTGCGGAGAGGGGGTTGCCGTACAATCCCAGGCCCGTTTTCGCCCCATATGCATGCGGATTGTGAGTTTGACATCCCGAGATCGAGATGGCGCAGCGGAAGCGTGCGGGGCTCATAACCCCGAGGTCCCAGGATCGAAACCTGGTCTCGATACGCTTTTGCTCTCCTCCCCCGTTTTGGGGGTAGCACCTTGCAAACCATTACTCGCCCGGACCTCTTGGAAGCGCTAGCTTTCGGCCTGCTGCTTTTGCCAGCCGAAGCGCCATCATGACGACCGCACAAGCCGCCTGCTCGGCATCATACCCACACATATACGTCCCTCACGCACGCACGTGACCCCCCTACTGACCAGCCCCCATGCATCCATCGAGCGGGAGGAGAGAGAGAGATCATGCACAGGAGGCGTTGAGGACAGAGGTTGATGAGTTTGGGGCACCTAGATGAACAGCAGGCTCTTCGGGCGTTGGCAGCGTCAGGTCAGGTCACAAGGTGCATGTCTCCATGCCGGTAGCAGATAGGTTGCAGCCAGCCATTGTATGTACGAGACGTCGGGTAAGGTGGGCTACAATCACCTCTTTGCCGATGGCTCATGCGTTCATCCTGCACTGCAAAACAAGCTCCCCTCGCCAGTGTCAGCAGGGCATCCCCGGACGTCGATAGCAAGGCGTCTTTATCTAGATAGATAAAGACGCCTTGCTCTATCTGGTAGATGCTCTGGTGCTCCTTCCGTCTCAAGCCTAACCCGGGCGGGTGGCCCCTGTGAGCGTCATCGTACGAGGTGTGTTAAGTGCGTCGCAAAATGAACCCAGGGTGGCGCAGGAGGCGCCAGCTGCCTGCTTGAGTGGGCTTGTACGGCGGACGACTGCAGTCACAGGCAAAGGAGCGAGCAACACGACACATACATAAAGCATGAATCCCATGCAACCCCCGTGCGCTGAGTATGTGCTGCCTTCGGTGTGCAGCTCACTTGGGGCAACTAACTGAACCGTGATGGGCATGGCTTGGACGAGTGACCCGTGGTTCGGACATCCCTTTCGGACCATCCCGCTCCTTGCAAGCGCGGTTTCTCGCCAGGCTTTAGCTCCCCTTAAAGCGTGCGCGGAGGCCTGGCACGCTGGGGTCCCGCTGAACTGCCCGAGCGTGCCGGCATGGAGACATGCAGCTTGCTTGTGACCTGACCTGACGCTGCCAACGCCCGAAGAGCCTGCTGTTCATCTAGGTGCCCCAAACTCATCAACCTCTGTCCTCAACGCCTCCTTTGCATGATCTCTCTCTCTCTCTCTCTCTCTCTCTCTCTCTCTCCTCCCGCTCGATGGATGCATGGGGGCCAGCAAATGTTTTTCGCATGATCCCAAAGTTCCCGACCCTTTACGCACTTACAATGTACTAGAGCGTGTTTCCTCACCACTCTTGCATTTTGCCATCTACCTTCAATGGCACGAAGGTAGAAAGGCACGCCAGCCCACATTATGAAAAGTGGAGTCCTTCCATTAGCCAATCATTGCTGGCGGTTTCCGCATGCGAATTTGAAGTTCTCATAAGATGCACTCTCATTCCCACTTTGAAACACCCCGTACCGACACCTAAACGACTCTCGATCTCTCATCCAAGCGGCACATAGTGGGCACTCAGAATGCTCTCCACACGACTTACATGCCATCTTCCACGCACACAGCATATCTGGTAAGCACGGTAACGCCCCTAGTAAGACACGGCGCAGGCAAGTCACCTCCATCTGCAGAGCCCTGTCGAAACTGCAAAGTGTAGCGTCTCCCACCAGTCTCCTTCAGATCGGCCCGTGTTCCCTCACTCCACATGGCTGCGAGACTGCCTTATCATGGAAGCCGCCAGAACCACCCGGAGGGTGTTCCTCTTATCGAACAGCAGTACTGTCGTCATGCAAGCCCTTTGTACACCCCAGCTGTAGCCTTGAAGCCTTTGGCAAACGGAACCCTACCTTCCCGTAACAGGCACCATGCCCTCACGCCATGAATGTAACAGGCGACCAATGCAAATCCCTTTATAGGCGTACAGTCGTGACACCCTACAGGTGTACTGCAGCCCACAGGGACAGGGGCAAAATTATGGGACCTGTTCGCATGGTCACTATTTCGACTTGCCGCGAAGCCGTTGCGATTGCTCCCTAACCTAACCTGGATGCGGAAACGCCCATGCTAGCGTTGCATGTGCCAAGTCACATCTGCCTTGCTAAACCCCGCCAACTAAAAACCAACCGACTGTTTCCAACGGATGCGACACACGGCACAGTGCTCGAGAACTGACTTCAGCACCCAGAGTAAGCCTGCTTCACAGGGCAAGCAAACTCCACCTATTCCCAAACACCCTGCAGGCGACCCCCACCCCCATTCCCTCCGCGTCACACTCCTCAAATGCTAAAAGCGCCGGGCGTCTGCATGACCTCCAGCTCAATTTTCTCAGCCTCCTCCTGGCCTAGCCCAAACATTTCCTGCAGCTGAAGCAACGTCGCGAAGTTGGGCGGGACCTCCGCGTTCTGCAAGTGCAGCTTATACAGCTCCACAAGCTCGCTCTTCGCGTGCCCGCCCAGCAGCGGAGAGCGGCAAATGCTATTTTCTGAAAGGGCGCGCCCGAGCTCCATGTAAGCGCGGGCAGGCTCGCCGGTCTTGAGGAATGCGAGGGCTTTGGTCACCGCTGCCGCCTGTCGCGTGCGAGCCAGTGCCCGCTGATAGCTGCGAGGGTCCTGCTGCGGACTAGGTGGGATGGGCAGCAACTCGTCCGTCTCCATAACTGCTGGCTTGCGTTTGCGATTCTTAAGGATGACCGCAGAGAAGAGTGTCGCGAGGCCGAAGACTATAAGTGGCGGAATCCAACACGGAGGCTGCTTGGGATCACGCGTACAAAGCTTTGGGCAAGTTTGGATGACCTGTGTAGTCTCGGACTGCCCGTCCCAGGCTGTCGCTCTGACCACCATCTGGCTCCGCCGCCCGCCGCGCAAAAGCACTGCTCTCATGGCTGGACATTGCCGCAAGCATTGCCCTGGCTGTAATGTCACTGGGGCATGCCCAGAGTGAAGCGCTTTACAAGGCATACCGCAAGGCCGCCGAAACGCGCGCTAGGAGTCTGGCCACCGAAGGTTGCTGTAAGGTATATGTAAGCGGTATAGGTTTAACTATCTGGTTCCTTTATAATAAAGACACGTGGCATGCGCAGCAGCATGGAAGTCTCCATTGCGCAACATTCATCGCCGTAGGGGAACTGTCCCACCTTGCGTTAATCGACAGTGTTCTATTGTAGAGTACTCAGCATCAAACAGATCGTGCATTTCTTTTTAGCAGTGTCGCCCGAGCTCTTCAGAGCCTCGCAGCTTGCGCTTTTTACACTAGCCGAGATTTACTGCAGTCTTGTCAATTCGCATAAAACACAATTGCACGGTTTGTGTCAATGGCCTCTTAGGGAAGCTAGTGCGTTATTAGCGGGCGTTCGAACGCAGCGATGTGGGGTGTTATCGCTGGCGCGGCATCTCGTGCTCAGAGCCTTGCTTCCAACGTAAAGAATGCTTTGCTAGAAGATCCAGACGAAGAGCAAGAGGTATTTATCGTTTCCAGTCATGGCTTTGCGAATGCCCGTTGCCAGCACGCAGGCATTTCCAATTCCCTGTACATTCCTTACGCGTAGGTCAACACTGCGGGCCATGAACAAGAGGAGTTCACCAGGTGCGACAGGCATCCCGCCTGTTTGGACGCATCCCTTCGCCCGTCGCAACAGCTTTCTACCGCAAGCCGCAGGTACCCAAGCGTTTCCGACACCCAGCATGCAAACATTGACGGCGAGGCTCCACTGGACGCCAGTGATAGCCTTCCGGTTAGCTGGGAGGCTGCGAAGGACTCGTTCGAGCCGGCAAGCGCAATGGAACACCCAGCCAATGTCATCCAGCCCCACTTCGGAAATCACCAAGCGCGTCGCAAGTCCCAGCACCCCAAGGCTTCTTCCGCCCTCAGCAACCACGAGGGTGGCGTCGCCAGGCCGCCCGACGAAACTTCCATCGCACTGGCAGGCAGCTCATCGGTGCATGTAGCAAGCACTACATCAGGTACACTCGACACAAGTACCTCCCTAGCAGCAGCAGCCCCTGCCGCTACCGTTCCCGCAGCGACACCCGTGCATCAAAACCAAACAGTCGATCAGGTTGCAGCATCCGCAGCCGTGCCCTCATCTTCCGGTCTCGCTGCTGCCGCTGCTACTGCTGCTACTACATCCGGCAGTGGGATGGGAGTTGCTGGTGTTGGCCGCATGCTGGGGTCCGCCAGCTCCACCGCTGCGTCTACCATGTCTTTCTTGTCGTCTGCCTCTTCCGTGCTTCAGAAGGTCGCCACCCATGTGGCGGGAGCGGAGGAGGCAGCGGACGGCGCTAAGCACAAGCCGCAGGTAAAATTCCTCTCCGATGTACGGCAATGCATTTTGCCGGACCGTACTTACATCAGAGATATAGAAGACAGCAGCGTCCGGCTATTGCGTACCATATCTGCGTACCATGCAGTTCCCTGCATTCGCTTTGCTCCTTTTCGCAGCACAATGCAGGCGCAGGGAGCACCACATTCGTCTGCTCACTTTACTCGGTTGCGTTTCCCCATCTTGCCTGATATGGCTTCACCGTATTGCGTGGCTGTCCCTCCACAGGTAGAGCTGCTGAAACAGCAGCTGATAGAGGTAACCATGGAGAATGACGGGCTGGCGTCGGAGGTAGCGCGGTTGCGGCGAGCGCTTGAGGACGCTGAGGAGGGCTTGGAGATGCTGCAGGTGAGGTGGCAGGCTGTCTGGGTTGGCTGTGCGGGTTGGGCATTGAAGGAGGTGATGGCTTACTTTGGACCTTCGTGCATGCATGCATGTATGCAAGTGCCGATTGCGCACTTCAAGGATGTGCATTGCGGATACACATGCCACAGGCAGGACATCGAAAGCTGGCCGACGTTCCCCATGCCCCACGCTCCCTAACTGCTTGCTGGCGTCTGTCTAAGTCGATCGCATGCCGTGCGCCAACGTCCATGATGCTGACTTGCCTCTCTTGCACCTCCCTTGAACCTGCGCCCAAGGGCGAACTCCTATCTCTTTTTTCTTGCCTTCACTTATGGTTTGGACTTTCCCTGACCCCAGGCTCAGTCCCAGACGGCGACGCTGTTGCGTCAGGAGCTCACGTCCGAGCAACATGCGCACGAGGCAACACGGCGGGAGGTGGACAGGCTAGCGGAGAAACTGCGTCAGGTAGGGTTTGCGGTGTAGGGAGTAGGTGCGGGTGTGGTTTCGGTACGACGGCTGGGTTACGCAAGTAGTGGTTTACAGTTGTAAGCAACTCGTTCCATGGTTTGTGTTGCTTGCGAGGTCTGGGGCGTTTTAGCGTACAGGAAACAGATTGGTTTTGAGGCCTTGCGCGATGGAGTTACGGTTTGCTATTTGCAGGTTGAGCAGCAGTTGGAGGGCAACGCTGCTGACGTGGCGACGCATGACTCGTTTTGGAAGGCGGAGTTGGAGCAGCAACGCACCTTAGCGGCCCAGGTAGCAGCGCGGATTTGCCTCTGTGTGGCGGACACGTATTGCAACCACGCGTGGTTGCACGGCGGCGGGCACGTTGAGGTGCCCGGGTACACCTGGTGTCGCACGTTCCGTTCCGTTTAGGCACGGCGTTATAAACAGCACTCCAAGTCCTTGCGGTTGAATAGGCGGCCTTTCCATTATCCCCTTTACAGGCCCAAGCTAGGGTGGCAGAGCTTGAAGACGAGTTGGGGCAGCTCCGCTCACGTGTACAGGAGCTTCAAAGCCAACAGCACGAGCAGCAGCAGCAGCAGCGCCTGAACGTGGGTACTCCTCCCGGAACCTCGGACGCCAGCACCATGGCAGATGTTGAAGCTGCTGCTTCGCATTCAGCAGCCGCTGATGCCGCAGCCCGGATCGCGGATCTAGAGACCCGGCTGCAGGCCTCCCAGCAAACGACCGATGACGCTTGCAGCAGGCTAGCGCTGCTTGAGAGCAAGCTGGCGGATACCTCGGCGTCGCTCGAGGCCGCCAAGGCAGAGGCGGAGGCGGCTCGCAGTAGCGCCAAGGAGCAGGAGCGGCTAGCTCTGAAAGCGGCGGCGGAGCTTCGAGCACTCCAGGAGCAGGCAGCTGCTGCAGCAGAAGCGGCGGGTGCGGAGTTAGAGGCCCGAGCGGCGGCAGCTGAGGCACGCACCGCAGAGCTGGCGGCACAGATCGCTGCTATGGAGGTAGCGGCGGCGGCGGAGAGGACTGACGCCGTAGCGGCTGCTAAGGCCGAGCTGCAGTGGGAGCTGGAAGAAGCTAAAACCGCGCTGAAAGAGGCGAGAGCGGAGCTCCGTGTGGTTTCGGAGCGGCAGGCCTGCGACTCCGAGTCTGTGGTACAACTGCAAATTCGGGTTTCAGAGCTTGAGCGGCAGCTGGAGGAGCAGCGGGGCGCCGCTGCGGCGGCGGAGCGGCGTGCTGCTGAGGCGGAGACGGCGGCAGCTGCTGCGCGCGGCGCTGCGGCGGCGGCGGCAGCCGCTACCACCTCGGATGTTGGCGCGGAGGGCGATGAGGGCCCTCTTGCGAGCATGCGTGAGCAGTTGGAGATGATGAAGGAACTGTTTGAAGACGAGCAGAAGTTTGGGATGCAGCACAAGCAGCAGCTGGAAGATGAGCGGTCGGCGCATGCAAGCACAAGGAGTCAGCTGGCCTCGCTGGAAGCTCAGGTGGAGTCGCTGCGGGCCCAGCTGGCAGCGGCGGAGGCGGTGGCGACGCAGGCCGCCGCGGCGTCAGAGGCACGATTGGCGGAGGTGCAGGCGCAAGCGACAAAAGAGCTCGAGTCGGTGCGACGTGAGGCTGCGGAGGCGGAGACGACACTAAGGGCGGAGCTGCAGCGTCAGGCCTTGAAGGAGGCAGAGGCAGGAGAGTGGGCTTCGGCGGCGGAGGCGGCAGCGGAGGCGCTAAGGCTGCAGGTGGCGGAGCGGGAGGCGGAGGTGGCGGCGTTACGGCAGCAGGAGGCGGCTGGCGGCGCCGCTGCGCTGGCGGAGGCGACGGCGGCAGTGGAGGAGCTGAAGCGGCGGCTGCAGGAAGAGGAGGAGGCCCATGCCGGTAGCAAGAAGCAGGTATGCTTCCAGCTCGATAGTAACGGGTACGACCGCTTAACGTGCATGGAGGGAGCCGAACAAACAAGAACAAGGGCTACTGGTGATGACCTGTCGTGTGGCTTAGCAGGAAGTGACCCATGGGTCGTCGTTGTCACTGACTGCGCAGGTATCGGCTCTCAAGGAGCAGTTGTTGTCGCTGAATGAGGAGGTATCAGCGCTGTCAGGGCAGTTGGAGGCTGAGAGGAAGGGGCGGCGGCAAGCAGGGGGAGAGGCGGAGGCTCGTGTTACTCAGGTGAGTTGCTCTGCCAACCCTTCGTGCGTACATAAAGAAGCGAGAACTAATCCATCAGCCTTGCTTGTGTGTCTTGCTCATGCATCCTGTCGGCCATTGCATCATGCTAATGGCATTGCGTCATTTCCACCCTTCCCTATCCTTCCCTTCCAGTTGGAGCAACAACTGGCGGAGGCACGTGCTGCCGTACAATCTGCGGAGCAAGCCGCCAGGTCCGCTGCTGTACAGTCCTCGGCGGAGGCGGAGGCCTCCCGGGCGGCAGAACAAGAGGCGCTGGCGGCGGTGCAGCGTTTGGAGCAGGCGTTGGCTGGAGAGAAAGCCCTTGTCACGCAGTTGAATGAGCGGTTCGCTCATGAGCTGCAGGGACGGGTGGAGCTTGCAGGACGAGCCCAGGAGGCGGAGGCTGCTGCTAAAAGGTGTGTTTTGATGGGGGATGTGGGACTCCTGTCGTTTAGCGCGGCCGGCTTGGGTTCTGGCACCCCGCATGGGTTCTCGCAGTCGCCTTGTATTCTCAGAATGCTTGCGCAGCTGCACAGCTTTAGCACGCAGAGTCAACCATGCCCCCTCCACGCATAGTCGGATCCTTCACATGTCGAGACAGACTTCTCTCCCTTGCAAATGCAACCTTCCATAACGCCCACCGGTGTTCCTCACACTCTCCCCACCGGTAATCCCCGCTCCCGTCCCAGCTACCAAGAAGCTCTGCAGCTCTCCGAAGCCGCTCAGCTGCGGCTCTCCTCCGAGTTGCAGCAGCTGCGGCAGGAAGCTGCCGGCCAGAGCAGCAGCCGGGGCGAGGCGGAGGCCAAGATGGCGTCAGAGCTGTCAACTGCCATGCAGCGCATGTCCGCGCTGCAGACCCAGGTGGCCCAGCTGCATTACTCGCTGGAAGAGCAGGCGAACCGGTCGCAGTCGGTGTTGCAGGTGGGTGCGGGAGCGGCTGAGATGAGAGAGGACAGGGAAGCCAGGCCTTGTGTTGAGACGCGAGTCAGCCTGCGTCTTTGCTCTTAGGCGCCTCAACTTTGGTGTTTTCTTTACCTACCTCGGCGTTTTTGTGATCGACGTTGCCATCTATCATTCACCCAATACTTTTTCCTCCTCCCGTTCCCCACATGTACCTTCATCAGGAGAGGGATATGTTTTGGAAACGCGAGCTATCGGAACGGGCGGTGGCGGCGGCTGAGGTGGAGCGCCGGCTTAAGCAGGTGCAGGAGCAGGCGGCCCGGGACGCAGACGCAGTGCAGGTAGGGCTGTGCGACTCTTTGCCTCGTAGCGCCTGCTGTTGGTGCCTCTTCACAGTTTCAGGGGGCACCCAACAATCCTTTGGGCGTGTTGCAGGGCGCTTGGGGGTCTTGTGTGGCCGTAGCGGTGCGTCGTACGTGCATGCAGTAACAGCATGCCTTCAGCCGCAGCGACACCCCTTTCTTGTAGGGTAGTAGCCGTACCACTTGCAGAGTATTTAGTACGGCAACTTTCTCTCCTGTTCTCTTCCATGCAGGAGCTCCGCTTTGAGCTAGAACGGCTGCGGCAGGATTCCTCCGCTGCCGCAGCTGCAGCGGCCAGCTCCGAAACCGCTCTCAAGCGAGAAGTGGAAGCCCTCCAAGCTGCATTGGAGCACGCTCAGCACAGTACGGCATACGGGTACGGCGATCACGACAGTCATCTGGAACGCGATCTTGCAACAGCTCGTTCCGAGGTCGTACGGCTGCAATCCGAAGTACGACGGTTACAGACCCAACTCGACTCGGCCCATGCAGCCGCTGCTTCCGCAGCTTCCGAGGCCTCCCGTGTTCAGCTGGAGCTACGATCCCAGGCGGCTCAGTTGGTGGCAGCAGCGGCGGAACGCGACGCTGCTACTGCCGAGTTGCGGCAGTTGAGTCACGTGTACCACCAGCACCTAGCGCAGCAGCGAGAGGAGATGCAGCAAGTGACGGCGGAGGCGGCGGCGGTGGCGGCGCAGGCTGCGGCGTCCGCGGGAGGGTCGGTGTCACATACGCCGCTATCGGTGAGGCGGAGTGTTTGGTAGTACGGAGGAATAGGGTATGGATGGAGGCAGGGATGAAGGGAGGAAATGAAGAGAAGGGAGAGCCCATGTTAGACTTTGTGGTCGTGTTTAGAGTACGTGTGTTGCTGCTCTGGGTTGCATGAGCCGCCCTTTGCTACAACTCTTCCCTTGCGCAGAGCCGCCGAGAAAGCGTTCGCTCGCCGCGTCTGAACCCCAACGATGGAGGCAACAGCAGCGGCAATGAGGACATTGCGGAGACTGCCGCTGCGGCGATGGCAGCTGCCGCTGCGTCTTCTGAAACGATGGCTTCGTTGGAGGCGGAGGTCTCGGAGCTTCGGGCCGCTTTGGAGGCGGCTGAGGGCGAGAAGGAGCGGCTGAAGGGGCAGCTGCTGCGGCTGAAGACGCAGATGCTGCGGGAGCAGGAGGAGGAGGAAGATAAGGTAAGAAGAGGGGAAGTACTAAGTAGCTATACATGTTGGCGCGTGTAAGTTTCCAACTTATTACCAGTCACCTTGACCTTCTGAGCAAAAAAACAAACTAGATTTTCCAAGTCGTGGTTCTATACACGTTTCGCTGCCCGTCTTTCGTGTTATCTATACCCCCTGCAGCTGGGCTGGCGTGTGGAGGCCGAGGTACGTGCGGCAGAGGAGCGGCTGGCAGGTCAGGTGCGGGAGCTGCGGGAGCAGCTGGAGGCGGCAAAGAGCGCGGCGACACGGAGGGAGGCGGAGATGGCAGGTATGCTTGCGTGCTGGTGGCAGATATACCGGTGTGCATGCAGAGACATTTGTAGTGGTATGATAGCGCGAACCTGCGGTGGCAAGGGCTATTGAAGCGCATTTCAAATCCCTTGCACTTGAATGGCATGACATCAGCATGTGCTTGGCATCCAAGGGATAGGGGGTTGGTTGGACATGGCTAGCGTCCGTTTCCAACTACGGACTGACCTACGACCGCAGGTCTGACGGAGGCGCTGGATCTTAAGGATACCGAGATCCAGAACCTGCAGGTACGAGCCGTACAACTGCTAACCGGGGTTACTTAAAATAACTTTGGTTGACAGGTGAAAAGAAGAAGGACGACCGTTATCCTGGAGCATGACACCCCACGCGAACCCGCTCCTGTTCCCTTCACGAACACCGTCGTAGTCGTACTTGTTGTCGTACATCCTAGGAATCCATATCCTTGACTACACGACTCCTCGCACCGCACCCCAGGCTGCTCTGGGAGAGCTCACGTACGAGAGCGAGGCCGCTGAGAAGCTGCGGTTGGAGGTACGAGCCGCCGCCAACCGGGCTGTACGACTGCAGGAGGAGTTGGCGGCGGCGCGGGAGGCGGTGGCGGCAGCACAGGCGGAGCGGCAGGCGACGGAGGCATTGGTGGAGAAGGTGAGGGACTGCCGGTGATGTAACCGCCAGTGGTTCTCTTTGAGTCCTGACGGTGCCCATACATGCTCCGCGTATTGCGTATGTGTATGCGTAACACATACCGTACCTTCACGTTATCATCGCGCAAAAATAAATAATTATTTCGGAAAATGCGCCGTTTCGCGCAAAATTAAATGATTGCTGAGAGGGGTGCGCGAAACTGGGGAAACCCCTCGGGACCCTTCCCCGCAACCCCAACATGCCCCAGCACCCCGTCGGCTCCGCTGCCCAGCCCCGGGCTGCATGCTAGTATGCCCCATGGAACACATAGCGGTATTTGAATAGCTGTCTTGGCGATCTGGGCTTACATGGATGGTTCTTACAGTCAATATGCAGTGGTGGACATGAGCTGCGCGAAGCTGAAAAATAATTCCTGACACCCCTGCGCGACCTTGAAAAATAATTCCATCTTATGGGGCTGCGCGATGATCACCCGAAGGTACGGTACTTCCTAAGAAAACCTCCCGTGTTCTTACTCTCCGCTCCGTCCTCCGCCGACCCGCCCGACCCGCCCTCCCCTCCAGACCCGCTCCTCCCTGGAGGCCGCGCTGGCCTCGGAGGCTCGCAGCGCCGAGGAGTGCGCCATGCTGCGTCGCGCGCTGGACCAGGCGGTGGCTCAGGCGGCCGCCATGAGCTCCGAAACCAACGGCATGGTGGACCGGCGCATCATGGGCAAGCTGCTGCTGACGTACTTCCAACGGAACCACAGCAAGGAGGTGGGGCGGGAGTTGGGACGGGGAGGGCATATGTGGAAAGGAGGGGAGGGAGGTAAAATTGAGAAAGGAGGGATGAAAGGTGAGGAGACGGAGTGGCTGTGGGGTGGAGAAGTGGGTTGAGGACGAGGATGCGAAGGAGACGATAACCTTTGGGGAAGGAAAAGGCGAGACTCTGCATTCCCTTACCGCCATGCATCTTCCTTTACCCGCTTCCCTAGCCTGCTGCAGTAACATGCCTGACATTTCCACTTCCTGACGCTTCCGCTTCCTTGCTCCTCCGCGCTCCAACAGGTGTTGCAGCTCATGGCTCGCATCCTGGACATGAACGACCAGGACCGCGCAGCCCTGGGCCTGGTGGGCGGCCGCAGGGGCATTCTCAGTCGGGTGGCTGGTGCGCCGCTAGCCCTGGTGGCGGGGGCCGGCCGCATGCTGGTGGGCGGGACTGCAGGTGGCAGCAGTGGCGGTGCGGGTGTGGGTGGTGGTGCGGGTGCGGGCGGTCGGGCTGGAGGAGGCGCAGGAGGGGACTCGCTAGCGGAGCAGTGGGTGCAGTTCCTGCTGAGTCAGGATGAGGCGGCGCAGCGGCAGCAGCAGATGTTGTTGCAGAGGCAGCAGCAGGCGGCTTTGATGGAGCAGCAGCAGCAACAGCAGCAAGGGCTGGGAGTGGGGCAGCAACAGGGGTTGATGGGGCAGCAGATGGGAGGAAATGCGGACGGAATGATGAACATGCAAGTCCAGCAGCAGCAGCAAGGAGTTAACATGGTGCCAGCTACGCCGCTGCCGCCCTCGTATCCGGCTTCCCAGTACGAGCTACCGGCACCACCGCCCCAGCAACAGCAGCAACAACAACAGCAGCAACGGCCGCAACAGCAATCTCAACAAGTTGTGGCCGCCTCAACACTTGCTTCCGTTGCTTCCTTGGGAGCTGCTCCGGCTTCAGCCCCACAGGGCCAGCTGCCGCCGCAACACCACCCGCAACTGCCGTACACAGCCGCACCCTCGTACGGCACCAGGCCTCCGCCGCATGGGCATCTTGCGGCGCCAGCAACACATGCTGCTTTGCAGCCCCCAGCGTCTTCTACCTTGCCGTACGCGAATTTGCCGTACGGGCAGCAGCAGCAGCCACACCAGCAGCAACAGCCTCATGTGCATCATGAGGCACAGCTGGCATCATCGCAGCCGCAGCAGCAGTCACAGCAAGGATTTGCCCTTCCCCACCAGACGCTGCAGCAACAACAGCATCAACCGGTGCCAGGCTCCTCGCCACCCACGTCCTCCTCTTCCCTTTCGTTAACGTCGTCCGTACCCGGGGCCACTGGCTATGCAACCGCAAGTGTTGTCGCCCCGACCAGCACCGGTGCTTCTTGGCAGGCCTCCCTGCAACCACTGCCGTTGCAACAGCAGCGGCAGCAGTTGCCGGCGCCTGCTAGCAAGCCGCCCGCCTATGCTGGAGATTGGTAGGTGTTTTTACCTGGATTGTGGTAGGCCTTTTAGCAGAGGTTTCGCATAAGGAGAACGGGAGTTCAGCGCGTCGAGTTAGGTGGTGGCGCTGTCGCGTGCATGGGTGATAGACATGCGTGTTTTCCAGCGTGGATACCGGTAGTTATTGCGAAGTGGTGGTCAGCGTCAAGGTCCGTGAGAGTTGGTGCATAAAATGTTGTTGTCACTTGTCATTTTGTCGTTGTTAGGCGGCAACACTGAAGCGGCGAGTTTGTTTTTTCCAGGGCATGCATGGAGTGGCTGGCTTAGAAGTAGTCGTGTTAGGTTTTGTGTTTTGTATGAACGGTGCACGCTCGTGATATTCTTTCTGGTGCAAAGACTTACGGTTACCGGTATGAATGCCTGGTATGTAAGTCCTTGGGCGTACCTGACTGTTCTTGGTAAGGTTTGTGCGTGCGTGTTAATGTGGCTTGCCCCACGATTTTGCTTCAGGTTAGCATTGCTTATTAGTAACACAACTTGATCGCTTCTTTTGCGACCGTCTCGTGACTCCTTTGGCGCTGCGTCACAACGTGTAACTTGAGATGTAATGAGCCAACTGTTGTACAAACGGGGCTATGGTGACACCGCCATGCACAAGGAGGTACCAAGGAAACCTAAGCCACTCTTAAAGCTGTACGTGCCGCTATTCATGCGGGCGTTTGCTCCCAACGGGGCATCGGAATCGGTGCGGCTAGGCTAACAAAAGGGGCGGGTGCATGCATGTTAGCAGATGACGATCGATGTTGTTACACATGCGAGGACTGCAGATTGCCAAAGATGGGTGGTGTTAAAAAACACCGTTTGAAAGGTAATGAGCGTAAGGACGCAGCACGCCGACTCGCTTAACTAGAGGTGAACTTGGTAACGGCCTTGGTGCCCTCAGACACCGCGTGCTTGGCCAGCTCGCCGGGCAGCACCAGGCGCACGGCAGTCTGGATCTCGCGGGAAGTCACTGTAGGCTTCTTGTTGTACTTGGACAGCTTGCTCGCCTCGGTGGCGATGCGGTCGAACAGGTCGTTCACCAGGGAAGTCATGATAGACATGGCCTTGCTGCTGATTCCGGTATCGGGGTGAACCTGCTTTAGCACCTTGTAGATGTACAGCTTGTAGGTCTCGGCCTTCGAGACCTTCACCTTCTTCTTGGCCTTCTCGCCATCAGCACCGGCATCCTTCTTCTCTGTCTTCTTGGCAGGCGCCTTCTTCTCCTTTTTAGGGGCCTTCTCGGCCTTGGGCTTAGCCTCAGCCTTCGGCTCAGCAGCATCAGCTGCAGGCACAACAGTCTTATCGTCCTTCTTAGGGGCCATATTGATAAAAAATATATTGTAATATTACGTGTGGTTGTGTCTGAAGAGGGTGCAATGTGCCAAATATATGATTGACAGGTCTTGGTCACAGAGGCAACTGCCCGTGTTGCTCGTCCAATGCTGGATCAACGGTTGGCTCAGGGGGACAGCTGCGCAAATACAATATTTTACGCGACAAATCAATTAAAGTAAACGCGAGCTTGGTTTATATACAAGTATATAGTAAGTTTTATCTTTTTCAGTGACGCCTAAGAATGTCCGGACGTGGCAAGGGCAAGACCGCCGGCAAGAAGGCCGTGAGCCGCAGCGCCAAGGCTGGGCTGCAGTTCCCAGTTGGCCGTATTGCTCGCTACCTTAAGAAGGGCCGCTATGCTGACCGCATCGGAGCTGGCGCTCCTGTGTACCTAGCTGCTTGCCTTGAATACATTACTGCTGAGGTTCTTGAGCTTGCTGGCAATGCTGCTCGCGACAACAAGAAGAACCGCATCGTGCCTCGTCACATCCAGCTGGCCATCCGCAACGATGAGGAGCTGAGCAAACTGCTGGGTGACGTGACCATTGCCTCTGGCGGTGTGCTGCCCAACATCCACGCTGTCCTTTTGCCCAAGAAGACCAAGGGCGGCAAGGCCGAAGACGGCTCCGCCGCCGTATAAACCCCGTCATTAGGTTCCAACTTTTTTTTAATCGGTGTTTATCAACACCACCTGAACATGGATACCCCTCCCCGAATTCACTTGTGGGCCCATTGTTTCATGCACTGCAAGTAAGGCACCTGTTATGCAAATAGCGTCTAACCCTCCATGCCAGCTTTGGATTTGGACACCACAATGCTTGCGCAAGTTTTACACCACAAACCCCATGATCAGAGCTTGGAAACAGACAGGGAACTAGGAGGGGTGTCGTCATGGGTGAGCAGCAGTCGTCATACTAAGAAGGGCAAATTGAATACAGACAAGCAACTGGGAGGAATGGGAGGGGAAAGGCGCTGGTAGTATGTATGGACGCTGTTCAAGCCAAACTACAAGAGCAGTGGCACAGTACTGACAGAATGAGTAAAGGTACCTACACACAAGGTCTAAAAGAACTTACAATGCAACAATAACGTCCAATAATGCTGGTGTTGAAAAACACCGTTTGGAAAAGTAATCCGGAACCATCAATTAACCACCGAAGCCGTAGAGTGTGCGGCCCTGGCGCTTGAGAGCATAGACGACATCCATGGCAGTCACGGTCTTGCGGCGAGCGTGCTCGGTGTAGGTGACCGAGTCCCTAATCACATTCTCCAGGAATGTCTTCAGGACAGTACGCGTCTCCTCATAGATGAGGCCGCTAATACGCTTCACGCCACCACGACGAGCGAGACGACGGATAGCAGGCTTGGTAATGCCCTGAATGTTGTCGCGAAGAACCTTGCGGTGGCGCTTGGCACCGCCCTTGCCTAGACCCTTACCACCTTTGCCACGGCCTGACATTGTGCTGGTATACTATATATAATAATTTGTATTAGATTAATGTAAGTTAACAAGGGATCGCGTGCATCTTATACCAGCTTAGCGCCCTTAGGATCACCGGGGCCAACGGCCAGGATCAACGGGGTTCCCCTCGTACAACGGCTGCCGTACAACCACTCCCCGCCCAATAAAGAGGGCAGCAGTCATTGTCAATAGCATACTACCTCTCTGCTCTAATACTCAAGGATTCTTCCAATATGGCTCGCACTAAGCAGACTGCCCGCAAGTCCACTGGCGGCAAGGCCCCGAGGAAGCAGCTCGCCACCAAGGCTGCCCGTAAGACACCCGCCACCGGCGGTGTGAAGAAGCCTCACCGTTACCGCCCCGGAACCGTTGCGCTTCGAGAGATAAGAAAATACCAGAAGAGCACTGAGCTGCTCATACGTAAGCTACCCTTCCAGCGTTTGGTGCGTGAGATTGCCCAGGACTTCAAGACCGACCTGCGCTTCCAGAGCCAGGCCGTGCTGGCGCTGCAGGAGGCTGCTGAGGCCTACCTGGTCGGCCTGTTCGAGGACACCAACCTGTGCGCCATCCACGCCAAGCGTGTGACGATCATGCCCAAGGATATCCAGCTGGCCCGCCGCATTCGTGGCGAGCGCGCTTAAAGCAGTCTACTTGGCAACAGGTCTCTCCTTCATCAAATACCCGGTGTTTTTCAACACCATCTTTTCTAGTTGGCAAGAAACTCCACATACGCCTTCACGGTCTTGCTAAGTGCATGTCCCATGCTCCGCCAACTCCAGTTACCTCTGCGATAACTCACATGACCTAAGACCAGTTGACCACAATACGTAAATCGTCTTCTACCGGTGATTTCAACTTAGAACCTTCTATATAATAAGGTCTTGCTAAACTAATAATGATTGCCTGTCATCTGAATTGTTCGCGTCTAACATCATAAGCTGTCTGTGGCGACTCGAACGATAAACACACAACCCCCTAAAAATAAAAATTTTCGCTACTGAGGGTGGGATTGGTGTTATCGGTTTAGTTAGTGCCCAGGATTCGCAGGAGACTAGTGCCTCGCAGAACCGTATGAGGACTGCGTTCTACGATGCTCCTAAGGGATATACCGGTTATAGCTTCGCTATTAGACCGATGCTATGGGTGCGTCAGCGTTGCCTGACTTAGTTCTGAGTATCGAGATGAGAAGCTCTAAGTATCGAGATGATTAGCGACAGGGAAGGTAACGGGAAAGCTCAAGCTGTACGACCTCGAGGCCAAGCTATCTTGCTTTGGTATCACTTACTCTTGACGAGAAGGATGAGCTTAAGGACACAGGTTCTTTCCTATTGCGGGTACGCTATGTAACTCAGCGTAGATCGGTAGTTGAGATGCGGGAATGGCGACTATAAGCGTAGTTGCTTAACACAGCCTTAAGCTGCTTCTTCGGCAGAATTAAGGAGTCTTGGAGAAGATTACTCTTGTTCCTTCAAGAGCAGGGAGAAAGGGAGGGGGATAAGGCTGCGGCTGGTTTGCCTTGGGCCTTGCCTGAGACAGGGAAACCGGGGAAACCGAAAGTAGGGTTCGTCTGTCGTTACAGAGTATCGAACCGGAGACCTTAAGGAGTCGTTGAAGGGCCAGAAAGGTTTGTTGTACCAGTGACCTTAGACTGTTGTAACCTCTTATGGGTGCCACTTCCTAAAGCAAGAAAATGCCTCGCCTTTTATACTAATCGGAAGCCTGTCAACGTAATGCAACTCCTAAACAACGTAATGCAGCTTCTCAGATCGAACCTTCCACAAAGAAGCCGCTAAGAAGCTGAAGCTACAAAGAAGGTGCGTAAACCTCCTTACGTAATCTAAGTAAAAAGGCATAAAAGGCCTAATCAAAATAAGACGCATAAACGCCTCAGAAATTCCAAAAGCAAAGCACGTGGCCCGTTATCAGTTATACGACTGTACTACCTTAACCGTACAAGCGTCGCGGCAACAAAGTAAATGCATCAACTCAGCTCAGCCCGAAGGTCTGCCTGAATGTTACTAACAAAAGCCGCAGCTTCGACCAGAACTTCGCGACGACTGTTATTGTTGGACCGCACTTCATGCCAAATGCCTACAACAAAACAGCGTTGCATCGTATTGTCACATATCATTCCCCTTAATCATCCTGTAATCCAATTTCCACCAACAGTATCTTCCGTCGGAAGCATCTACTTGCATCGGCTAGCAAACAAAACCACTATTCAACTCTGCCAGCCCTCGCGACCAAAACCATATATCCTGCTTCCAATTAGACTAAAGCCTACGCCACAGCTGTGGCGACTACCCCACACTGAAAATCCGTACGCCCTCGTACGGCGCAGCCTAAGGGGTGTCGTGGGACAGCTAATTCACTACTAACTGCACGATTCTTGGACCCTTGAAAGCCTTCGGAACTTGGTAATCTTGATCTTGTCCGTTGTCAGGATGACTTGGTTTGACGGTGTAACGTTTTACCCGTACTGTTGAAATGAAGACGATGGGCTAGTTGTAAGTGACCCGTGGGTCATCAATGTAGGCGAAGGCTGCTCTACTGCCTTTATACGTTCCGAACACGCAGAACAACCGTAAGACGGGAGCAAATTGTTGTTATGTTTGCTTCGCATGCCACCCCACACTGATTCGAGACATCAGGGTGCTAGGCAGCTAAGAAGTAGCTGGTGGGTGCCATAGTAATCTGCTTCTTGGATGTTGAACGAAGGTAGTAACAACCCATGCGGCTGCCTAGAAAGCACTGTGGTGTACGGCAATGTCACCGTAGGCCGAGGGAAAGGGGTATTACCAGAAGGCAAATGCTCTGCAGGTGAGGGATGGCTGGAAGAATTCTCAGGCACGTACATGTCATCTAAAGCTGTAGAAGTGGAACGGCGGGCAGTGCCTGAGACCTTGTTAGCAAGCTCATGCTCAGAGCCCGTACTTGATGGCTGGTTGGCAGGCGGCGGCTCGCCAACAGAGGACAAAGCCAGACATAGCTGAATAGGACTGCTGCCGCTGATCGGACTTGTAATGCTTGCTGAAGATCAGGCGGTGCTGTAGGTAACGTGCGCACCGGAGACTGGCAGAGACAGTGCGTCTTGGGGGGTGAAGTAGTAGGGTGCCGAGAGGAAAGCCTCGGAAGTATCCGTACGACAGATTGCAGACTGACTGGTAAGACGGTTGACCACAGCAGGAAGGTCTTAATAGAAGGGTCCGCATCAGTGTCGGATGAGGACGAAGGAAGAATTTCTGCGTAGTCTTGCAGCATATGGTTAACACTGCGCTTGCGGTTAGATTGAGGTCGCTTGATAGCGGCTTCTGGGACAATTGGAGCTTGTGTCGAGACGGAGGGACCGGAGGTTATGACACGAGCGGGGGCAAGGGGCCGAACTGCCGGCGCGGTATTTCGTATTCCCTCACTGGTAGACGGAGCGACCTGTCGCACTTCGGGCACTGCAACTTGACTGGTGGCCGCACTAGGAGTAGGGCCTTGCGTAACTGGGCCTCCAAGGGGCATTGGGAAGACCGGACGTATGGGAACCAAATTGATGGGGCTCGGAAAACC